CAGCCACATGGCAGGCCAGCAGGTGGCTGCACCGGGGCTTGGGGCTGCAGGCAGGCAGGCTGGTGGCTGTTGCTGGGATTTTGGGGGTCATGGGCTGCTGCCCAGGTTTGCTGCCATGTGGTGGGCAGGTGGCTGCAGCCAGGGTTGGGGTCACGGGCAAGTGGGGTGCTGCCACTGGGGCCTAAGGCAGTGGGAGAGTTGCAGTCCGGGGTTTGAGGCTGCAGCCATGAGGCAAGTAAGCAGCTGCTCCAGTGCCGGGGCTGTGTGGCTCAAACACTGGGGTGGAGGTAGGGGGTAGAAAAGACAGAATCAGATAAAGTGAGAGCAAAATCAGCATTTCTTCCATCTTGAGTGGGACTGATTCTGCTCTCACACATCTGTAAGTCAGCAATAGTGAGAAAACAGGTATGCGAATAAATAGTTACACTTTTAAAAGAAAGAACAGGTAAACACAAAATAGCATTTTGGGAGCTGTTTTCTACAGCACTAGCTTTGGAGCGTACCCTCTACATTTATATTCTGATGCATTCGAAATTGAATCACTTCTGTTCGGAACTGTCCTTGAGGACTAAAATGTAGGGATTTTACAGCTGTTGGTGGTATGCTTCATGCACTTGATGTTAGACTTCATTCTCCCATACTTGTACTGAACTCAAATAATCGTTAAAAATGGAAGGAAAAAGAGGTTTGCTGTAGTTATAAACAGTGGAATATGGAAAATCTAAACATTCTTCAATATTGTTCAAAGCAAAGCCACGGTCCATCTAAACTAGACAGTTCTGTATTACTCTAAGCTTTAACAAGAGTGTTGAGAAGAGAGGAAAGGAGGTTTGATTTTTGAACCAGAAATGAGAAGCTGCTGGTGGTGCTTCTAATAGTAACAATAACAGCGCAGGTAGACGGAATACTGTACAACTCTTCCTTTGTATTCTTCCTCAAAACATTATTAATCTGAAATTATTGCTTGCTTGGTGCTCTCTGTGAAACAACCGACAGTGAAATTTTTACTACTAACTGCAACAACGAAAATGTTGTCAAATGCATTCTTCATCTCCCAGTACTGGTACAAACATTATTTACCCGCTTACTATCAGCTTCTTGTGCTTTTGCCATAGATTATATGTGTTGTTAATAGTACCCATTTCTGGTTACTCTTCCCAATACAGTCCAGAAGACACATTCCACTTTCCTCTACAGCTATAGTAAGTCAAAGACATCCTGAATTACATTAGTGTCATTTTGAGCTGCATTTTCCTTTGGAAGACCCAATGAATTAACTGTAGATGCACCCTGATGATAGATAGTTCTCCCCAGCTGGTGACTTAACTGGCTAGGATACTGTAGGGCTACGTCTACACTGGCATGATTTTCCGAAAATGCTTTTAACGGAAAAGTTTTCCATTAGAACCCAGAGTGTAGAAAATTGTGGCTGCTGCTGGTACACATGTATTCTCTCTGCTCTAGATACACAGAGATGGGGGAGTGCTGTGCTGGAGGAAGGAGGGCACAAGAGACACAACAGGCAGGCAGGAGAAAAGGAGGCATGGGGGAGTCATTTGAGCTCCCCACCTCAGGTGCCAAAGTGTTGTGGGCTGGCCCTGAATTCTTTTAGACTATGTCTACACTGCAAGTTTTTGCAGCAGACAGTATGCTAATGAGAGACTCATTAGCATATTTTCTGCCGATTCTTTTTGTACAAGGGGCTTTCCCACTTCCGTTTTGCACAAAACCCCTTTTTCTGCAAGATCCTTATGCCTCTCCAGGACAGGTAAAAAAGGGGTTTTTGCACAAAATGGCCATGGCCACACTGCCTATTTTTGCGCAAAAAACCCTTGTGCAAAAAGAAATGGCAGAAAATATGCTAATGATGTTGCGACTTATGCTAATGAGCCCCTCATTGGCATATTTTCTGCCGCAAAAACTCGCCGTGTAGACAAAGCCTTATTGTCAGCATGTGCACACAGAGTTCTGAAAAGCTGCAGCTCAGTTGTGTGTCAGCAGGCTTGGCTTTGTCTGCACTGGCCACTTAACGACAAAGCTTACGTCCGTCAGAGGTGTTAGCCCTTGCCTCCCAAGACAAAAGTTTTGTGGTGGCGAGTACCAGCATGATCAGTGTGTGGTGCACAGAAGTGCTCTCTTGCTGACAGTGCGAATGCTGCTCCTTGGGGGTGGAAGAACTTGTCAGCAAAAGAGCTGATAAACAGCAGCTGCACTGCCTGACTTTTAGCGGCATGCATGTGTTGCCACCAGTGCCAGGAGCTTGTACCCTGCCAGGCCCGTCAAGTGGCAGGGGCAAAAAAGGCAATTTCCATGGGACTCAGTGATTCTAAAGGGCCTCACCCTCTGGCCGCTGCTGCCACAGTATGAGCAGTGTTGCCGAGTGCTTCTTCTTGGCCTCCTATGACTTACGGACCTGTGGACAGTGCAGAGTTAGAACAGCCTTGAGGCTCATCTCACATCCTGAAAATTTTGCAGCATTAATTTTCTTTTTATTTGACTTTATATTAAATCAATATTTAAAGTCGTGCACCTCATTAATTATCCCTTGTTTTAGTATTCTTCCTTCCATAACATTTTACTGTATAATAACTCGGGTGCCACGGCGGCACACAACCGAACAAGTGCACATGACCTCAATATTGGTGCGCAAGACAAAACTCATTCTGCTCATGGATGGGAACTCTTAGAGGGAACACTGGGCCAGACCCTCCCCTCGAGACATCTAGAAGAGCAACCAAGTAGGATCTGCTTATTTCATCATACATGGTAACTGTCGTCGTTGACTCATTGCTCGCAGGTTTGTGGAAGGAATCTCTTGGCAGATCTGAATAAGCAGGGAGGGAGCAGTGTTATGGGGGAGAGGGGGTTAAAGGGCAGTCTGGACAAAGGCAGAGCTTCATTTCACTCAGGGAGGCTATCCCCAATCCTGTACTATGAACCAGTACAGTCATCTCATCATGGAGCCACGCCGGGAAAATCTGACCCCATCCCAGTCATCGCGTATCACAGGAACAGGAAAAGCGTGATTGGGAGAACAGTCCGTCCATCAGGGCTACTGCTGGGGGGTTGCTCACACTAGCCCTGTTTCCATAGACACAGCCCGTCACGTGGCCTCCATCGTCCGAATGACTTCGAGGCGGGAAGGAAGTGGAAAACAATTACAACCCCAAGGCTGTCTGCGCAGAGCTCCGTTACTGGAGGTCCATTCACACAAGGTGGATGTTGCACTGCACGTTGCACAGATGACTGCGGAAACCTCTCCAGTCTGTGTCTAGCCCCTTCTCGTGTGTCTTTCCAGAGTGTAACGGTCCCCAGAGGGAGCCAGTCATTTCACTTTCTTTCTGTAACTTTTGCCACATCCAGGACTATGTAGCACTTTAAAGACTAACAAGATGGTTTATTATTGTTAGTCTTTAAAGTGCTACATAGTCCTGTATTTTGTTTCAGCTACACCAGACTAACACAGCTACATCTCTATCACTATTTTGCCACATCCTCACTCACCTGCCACTTAGCTTTGAGACGTTGCTCTCTAATGTCACATCAAGCTCACCAGCCCAGGAGCAATACCTGGCCCAGATGTTAACACTATTGCCAACCCCAATATTCCGAGCTAGGCCTGAAAAGCCATGAGATTAGCTTAAAAACCAAGAGGCTTTTAATGACTTATTCTTTAGTTCTTTTTTCTTTGCCACCTTCACCTTTGGCATGCACCTGGGGAACATTTTAAGCTTTCCTTTGCAATCTTGATAGCTAGAAACCCCCCCCCCCTTTTTTTTTCTTTAATTGAAAGCCATGGGGCTTTCTTAATCACATGACAACAGAGGCTGGAGCTTTTAAGAGAAACATGAAATATCCCAAGACTTACGATGGTTATTTACCGGTGGTGGTTCAAGATGTTTTGTTGGTGTGGATTCCTCTTATGGTGGACCTGTTTCACATGAATGGTTTGCACCCAGGGCTGGCCTTACCATGAGGTGAACTGAAGCGGATACCTCAGGTGCCAGACTGTGTGTGTGTGTGGGGGGGGTGCCACTAGGACCCAGAATGTAAAAAATTGCTGCTGGTGCATATGTATTCTCTCTGGTCTAGATGCCCAGAGATGGGGGAGTGCTGTGCTGGAGGAAGGAGGGCACAAGATACATAACAGGCAGGCAGGCGAAAAGGGGGCATGAAGGCATCATTTGAGCTCCCCACCTCAGGTGCCAAAATGTCGTGGGCTGGCCCTGTTTGCACCCTAGCTGAGGGGTCCCCATGAGACTTGAAGAGGAAATTAATTATATTGTGTTCCCCTTTCCAAACAACGACTCTCCCTGTGTAAAGGTGTACAATTTGTCTCCTGGAATTCTAGTCCAGCAGCCCATGAAACGGTGCTGCCTGAATCTCTATTGATGCAACATCCTCCCAGGCAGGATCAATTTCGTCCCAGTATTTCCGCCTCCTGTCCAGTAAAAAAAAAATCAGAAAAATACCAGACACCTAAAATAGCTGGTATTTTCTGATTTTTTTTCCCCTGACAGGAGGCAGAAATACCAGACACCAGGCAATCCCACCACACTCAGCAACCGGGCCCATCCCCTGGACTCCTCTCTGCTCCCCACTTACCTGGTTCCACAGGGGAGCTCTCTTCTCACACAGAGTAAGAAAACAAGATGGCCACCGGCAAAAGAAAACCCAGAGGCCTTAAAGGGGCTATGCTGGGGTTTTTTGTATTTTTTTTCTAAATAACTGTAGGGGTCCTTTTTTTTTTTTTTTTTTTTGGTCTCCCCTTTTTTTTCTCTCAACAGTGTTTTTTGAGAAAACTGTCCAGGTCAATACCGGACACCTGGCAACTCTAGGGAGAACAGAATCCCACTGCCTGGTTACAGGGTCTCTCCCTCGGTGGGCCTGGTCGCCCTCCTCCATTGACTTAGACGGGTTTCAGTGACCAAACCAAACAGATACCCACAGCCGAGTGACCAGATTTATCGCATTGCTCCGTCTTTTCTTTCTCTCCCCAGATCTGGTGAGAGGCTATTCTATGACCCCACCTGTTCTCAGCATTACTGAGGAGGAGCACATCATAAACTCCAAGGACACACTGACAATTACCTGCAGGTAAGAGACAAACAAAAATGGTATTGGGTAGATTACCTGAGCCAGCTGGTAAGTGCTCAAAGAAGAGTCCAACAAGAGGCCACCCGCGGACCCCTCTAGATTCAGGAGCACTGGAAACAGCTTGTTGGAGACATTGCTGATTACAGAAGAATCCCCTGAGCTGGTGGTAACCTCTCTTGCTCCATGATGTGTAGGACCAACTGGAAGCAGCTAGTGGGAGAATGAGGAGCTGCTTGCAGGAGTTCACAGGTCCCGCGGTTGGCTCTAGAACAAGGTGTTTTCCTTACCACCCTTCTCTTGCTTCTCTGTGTGACAGTGCCTCTTGGCACTGTTCTCCCTGCTGCTCCAGCTGCGCCTGGCTTCCCTCTGGAGGAAAGGGTGCCAGTCCTTTGGGGGTTTGGTGCTGTGGAGAAGTAGAGATGGTGGGGAGGGAAGCCACTCTCACAGGTGACTGTGACTGCGTGCAGAGTCCCTTCTCCTTTTCCAGCATGCAGGGGTTTTGGTCCATGCTTAGTCCTCCCTCAGGTGTGCCAGGAAAGGCTGTTGGGGGGAGGGGGAAGGAGGCCGGCTTCAAGCTCTAGAGAGGGACAGATGACTGTATAAGAGGAGCTTGGTAATCAGGAGAGGAGGCCTTTCAGAAGTCAGAGCTCTACAGCCAGAGTTGACTGGACTGGTTGGCCCCACACTGGGGTGTTTGTCCATTCATGTGCATGCTGCCCTGCAGCCCTTAAGGAAAAATAAGTCTGTGGGAAGGGAGACTTTGCACGCTCAAACTGGGCTCTGCTGCTGCACCAGTGGCTTTGCAGCCAATCACTTAGGCTGTGTCTAGACTGGCCAGTTTTTCCGGAAAATCAGCCGCTTTTCCGGAAAAACTTGCCAGCTGTCTACACTGGCCACTTGAATTTCCGCAAAAGCACTGACGATCTCATGTAAGATTGTCAGTGTTCTTGCGGAAATACTGTGCTGCTCCCATTCGGGCAAAAGTCCTTTTGCGCAAAACTATGTGCAAAAGGGCAGTGTAGACCACTTAGATTTGTTTTCTGCAAAAAAGCCCCGATAGCGAAAATGGCGAGCGGGGCTTTTTTCCGGAAAAGCGCGTCTAGATTGGCACAGACGCTTTTCCGCAAAAAGTGCTTTTGCGGAAAAGCATCTGTGCCAGTCTAGACGCTCTGTTCCGAAAATGCTTTTAACGGAAAACTTTTCCGTTAAAAGCATTTCCGGAAAATCATGCCAGTCTAGACGTAGCCCTGGAGTGGCCATTACCAGAATTTGAGATCATGTGGTGGCACGTGCTCACGGTGCCATGCAGGGCACTATTTCAGGGTGGAGGCACTGCAGCTGTGCATACCAGGACACTACTTGCTCTTCTTCCTATTCCCCTGACCGTCAGGGAGCGAGGGGAAAGTACACAGTCTGTAGGCATTGCCTTCGCTCCTGGCTGGGGAAGGGAGGGGGCAGAGGAGAAATTCACACAAGCTGATAGGGGAATGGGAAGAAGAGGAAGCAGAGTCCGGGTGCATATGGCTGTAGCCCTCCTTGCCCTCCCAAAATGGCACCCTTGTGTGCCACTGAAAGCCACCAGTACTGTGGATTACAGTGGAGCGTACATGTCAAGCCTCTCCACAAGGGCATTCATTTCATCTGTTCATCTTGGCATAAGCCTGTCTAGCTTTTCCTTGAACAGCCCCAGAATTGGGCATCATTGTTGCTTTGCAAATAATTTGTGACCCTGGGTTGGGGAGCAAGCCGAAGGGTATAAAACATAGAGGGAGTCGGTGGGGTTCCTCATGGGAGCAGGTATACACCTGCCCCGTTGTCTTCGTGCCACACTCTCCCATGGCTTCATTTGGACCTGGGTCAGGAACGGAGAGACACAGTATAATTGGGCTGAGTTTAGGGGACATGTCTTCACACCACAAAACCTACTCTACCTCAGTGGAACCCTTCTTAGCAGAGAAGCCGTGGAGTGGGCGGACCTGCCGGGGTGGGAGTGCATGTGCAGAGGTCGTGGTGGGAGTGCCAGTGCCTTTTCTACGAATAAATAGGACTTTGTTCCCAGCAACTCCTGCCAGCGACATTCAGCCCACGAGGACAGCCGCTGCAGCATTGGAGCTACGCGTCTGGCTTGAGAAGGCTTCCTGCCAGGGCTGAGCAGGAAGGGTCTAGGCTGGCTTGTACCATAGTGCAGGGTGTGTGCTGCTCCACCTCTGAGCAGGTGCCACATGCCTGCCTGCCGTGTGAGTCAGCGCTGGCTGCTGAGGGTGAGGTTTGCCTGCTGCCCTGCGTACTCCAGAGTGAAGTGGGATGCCAGCTCCGATTGCACCCAGCGTGGCTTTTGCATGTGACCGAGGAAGCCACACCCTTTTGCCCCCATTTGCAGCAACACATGCAAAGGAAGAACTGAACCCCATACTTGTGCACATGCATAGTTATCCTTATCCATTACTTCTGTGATGGGCACCGCATGAGAACATAAGAACCGTCAGACTGGGTCAGACCAAAGGTCCTTCTAGCCCAGCATCCTGTCTTCTAACAGTGGTCAATGCCAGATGCCCCAGAGGGAATGAACAGAACAGGGAATCATCAAGTGATCCCCTCCTCTCCCCCCGCCCATTGCCCATTCCTAGTTTCTGACATACACAGGCTAGGGACACCATCGCTACCCATCCTGGCTAATAACCATTGGTGGACCTAACCTCCATGAATGCATCTAGTTCTTTTTTTAATCCCTGTGAAAGTCCTGGCCTTCACAACATCCTCTGGCAAGGAGTTCCACAGGTTGACTGTGTGTTGCGTGAAGAAAAACCCCCTTTTGTTTGTGTTAAACCTGCTACCTATTAAGACATTGAGCAGCCCACTCCCTGCAATGGCTTAGTTGCCAGCCCTGACCCATCCTGCTCAGCGGTGGAAGAAAACGGTCTCAAGCCAGATTTATACCTGGGAAGAGCAGGTACCCTTACGCCAAATGAGGGCAATGGAAATGATGGATAAATGCATATAGAGAGTCCTGTGATGCTGGTCGAGCCAAGGCAAAGGGGATGTATTCAGGGTAGAAGTGGGTGGGCAAATAAATACCCCCTACCACTGAGTGCTCCTTGCCTTTCTGTATGCATCTACTTTCCTGTTCAAAGTGCCATGTGAAGCCTTTCTCTTTAATTCCCCCCCTCCGGGATGGGAAATAGCAGTTATGCTAACATTGTATCTTTCCTTCTATCCTTATTATGTATCTATTTACATGAAAGGAAACCATGGGGAGCAGAAAAGAGTCTAATTTCTAGTTTGGACTCTGCTCCGAAAGGCCTCCCTTGCCAAAGCAAAATGACCCGGGCTCTCAGCATCTGAGAAACAGAAGAAGCGACCCAAATAGCTTACAGCTCCCCCCCACCCCCACCCCGTTCCCGGCTGCTGACTCCGGCTCATCTTTCATGCTCGCTAGGGAGACATCCAAACTGCGAGCCAGGATGGAAATGGCAGAGGCAAAAAAGCAGCAGCTCCGTCCTGAGCTCCCAGATGTTCCGGAGAATACAAAGCCAGCCAAAAATCATAGGGGGGCCCCCCGCACTGTACCGAGAGGGGAGGGACCCTTCATCATCCACAGGATGATGAAAGCGGTGCCCGCTTGAAGCCCTGCTTCACCTCAGGCTTGAGGGTGCGTCCTACGTTACCCCGGTACCCAGAGAATGATCACCTTACCGGGACATGCTGCAAACTCTGCCAGAGTTTCCTCTCCACTGCTGGAGTTCAGATCCTCCCCCGCCTCCTGTTTAGCTCCTGGGCTCATGTTTCTAGAGCATCTCATGGGGATGACTCCTCTGAGAAGACAGCTACCCCATCGTCCTCACCCCCAACTGCTCCTACGTTTGAAAGAAAAGCGAATCCGTACTGGCTCCTACATCGTTAATGATGCCCAGCTGTGACTCCGAGTCTCTCCTCTGGACCCTGGACCACCCTGAAAAGACATGGCTTACGTTAATGGGAGCTGAAGGGTCATGGCAGCAAAAATATGCAAGGGCTAGAACACAGAGGTGCGGGGGCAGAGAAAAGAAAAAGGGGCGGGTGCTGGGCTGAGCTGGAGGAGATGTCTGAACTAAAATGATGCCCTTTCAGATTAGTATCCAGTGACCCTTCCGCTGGGAGTCAAACTGGAGTTAGCTTTTGTTTGTCCACATGGTAGGTCCTAGGAACCATCCTTTCTGACTTCCACCCCGCAGCACAAGCCTGTTAAGTGGTGATTAGGCAGAGAACGACGCTCAAGCTGGCTTTTGTTTCCTTGCACTGACAGTGCCGGGCCCCATATAAAAAACCTATTTTGCGTTGAGAAAGGTGGGTCAGCTCTGGGCCCCGGGATTGCTCCTTCGGAGTGCAGAGCAATTGAGTCCCAGTGTGTGACAAAGCGGGGGCAAAAGGTAAGGTCCACACATATGTCTTTTTGGAGTTCAGGTCCCAAGAATGGCAAAACCAACACTGGGATGAATCTCACTCAGTAGTCATGGCCTTGCAGAACTTGCCACAGTGGAAGCAAAGAGACCATCCCTTTCCGTTCCCTGAATACTGGAACAAGGCATGTGGGACCTGATCACACAGCTGCAGAAAGGTCAGGTGAAAAGAAATGCAAAAGACATTGGTGTCACACCTCTTATTACCAGAGGTGAAAGGAAGCGGCGCACCCCGATGCACAGCACTGACAAGAGCTGCTGAGCTGCACCAAAAGCCAGCAGGGAGCTATTTAAAGAGCTGGCAGGTTACCCAGGTTGGGATAGGACAGTACCTGTAAGAAACTTAAGTTACTTTCATCCCTGCTTATTACCTGCCCTTTACATCCTCCTGCAAGCTCTAATCACTCAGGTGTTCTGGGTCAGTGGAAGTGGCTTTGAAAATCAGGCCTGGTCTAGGCTGGACACTTTTATTGCCTCAATTGTATTAAAGCTGAATCACCCACTACTGGGAATGCACAGAAGGACAGGTCTGTCCTTGTAAATGGGCTTTGTGGTGGTGTAGCTATTCCTGTACAGGAAAATCGATTGGTATACCAATGTGCGTAGAGTTGCCAGATGGTTTAACCAAAAATACCGAACACTCCCCCCCCCAAAAAAAAATAGGGAAAAAATTCTGTTGAGGAAAAAAAAGGGGGAGACCAAAGTTGCTGAGCCAAACAAAAAGGACCCTGAGAGTTTTGGTGTCTGGTATTTTCTGAAATATACCAGACTGTCCGTGTCAGTACCGGACACCTGGCAATCCTAAATGTCCTTGTCCATTATACCAGTTCAAAAGCTTCAGGGGGGTAGCCGAGTTAGTCTGTAACTGGGAAAACTTGAAAAACAACAAATAGTCTGGCACCACCTTAACGACTAACAAAACATGTAGATGGTATCACGAGCTTTCGTGGGCACAGCCCACTTGTTTCATCTGAAGAAGTGGATTGTGACCACGAAAGCTCATGATACCGTCTACATATTTTGTTAGTCTTCAAGGTGCGGAAAGACTATTTGTTATTTTTCAGTTTTTCCACTGTACCAGGGTAACTCCACCCAAATTAGGGTCATCACGTGTAAGTGTAAAGCAGGCCACAGAAAGGGGCATGAAGGAGTATCATGAACGACACAGTGGTTTAATAACGCTGTTTTTACTGGATGCTCATGGCTGCACAAATATCGCTCTGGGAGAAAAGAAGTTTGATCCTGGACCCCTCCTGGCTCACGATGACAAATATGTGAGTGTTGTTGCTGTGCTGGAAGAACGAATCTCTGCCCAGCACGGAATCTTATATGGTAGCCTTTAGAAGAAAAAGAACTGCACTTCTTTGGATTTGCTGCTCAGAGTGGCAGACCCCAAAAGTCCCCCTGAAGTTTGATGATCTCTCTTCAACAGATTAGACCACAAAGCCTCTGTATCCAGCACCCTGTGTTTGGGAGAAACAGAGAGGGCTGGGCTGGTGAGAAGGGCGCTGTCAGTTCCCCTCCATCTCCTGCTGGCCCCATGCTCCTCGTGGCATTTCAAAGCGGCAGCACCGCATGGGGCCCAGGGTCACTGGAGGAGCACCCTGGCAGAAAGTATTTAGGCTATGAAGAAAACAGCTATTGAGAAGCGTGTCCTGCATCTGTGGCTAGCTGGAACCTAGCTCCAAATTCTCAGCAAAGCAGACTGTTGTCAAGGACTGGTCAGAGGGGCCAGCAGTTGATCCGCGTCTCGAAGACCATTTTGAAGTAAGGCTCTGAAGATGAAGTATAGATGAGAGGGAAATGTCCAGAAACTATTTCCTGGATCTCCTCCAAACACAGCAAGCCGAGTTCTGAGGTGAATCAAAGTCAGTCGAAGCTGGTGTAACTTCCATCTCCTTCTAGTCCACTTACCACATACTGTACATTCTATTAACTTAGACTCATATCCACTTACCAACATGTAACTCATCCCCCCCCCCACACACACACACACATCACCACAGAATTTGGACCAATTATGTTTGATGCCAGAGAGCTTCAATTAAGAACAACCCATGGGCCTGTCAACAGTTGTGTTTGTATTGGCCCGTCTCAGCTATATGTTTATATAAATATCTATCACTCAACTACTGCTAGCCCTGATGGTTACTAAAACAAATGGATTTGATGATATATGAAAATCTCAACTGGTAAACAAACAGAAAGCAGCGACTCTGGAGATGTGTAGAATTATTAAGCTTCACATGCAGCACCAAGAATTCCTGAACAAATGCAAGAGTTTGTAAGGCGCCACAATTCTGCCCGTGCCTTTAAACCTTGAGATCTAGTATATCAGCCCTGTCATCCACCTAAATTGTCTGGTCTCCCAAGTTTCTGAAAAGCAAGCTAAGTGCAGAAGGAGGACATGGATTCAGTGAGGAATGACATGTACGACACTGGATATGAGGTGAGAAGTATTTATCATTTGTTTCTGGATCTGATGTCTGATTTTATGTACATGTATTGGAATGAAACATTGAAAAAATTGAAAAATATATTTTTTTAATATATGTAAGAGCCTATTAAAAAGAGTGAAATTAATCCAGGTGTCTCCCCAACTCTGTCTTGTTCTGTCCTGGTGAAATTAGACTAACACTACATCAGAGACTACAAGTGTCACACTGCCCAGGTCTTATTGTAAAAATGACCCCTTCTTGCTCGCCAGACCTGTCCGTTTGTGTCGGGTTTGCTCGTGTTAGTGATCAGGATAAGTTTGGAGGACATTTGTATTCCTGGGAACTCTGTGAGACTCAGCGAATTGCCGTTTCAATTCCATTTCCTGCGTCAACAGAATTAAGTAAACAGAAATGTTCCAGTCAGCTACTCCCGTGCAAGCCCATTGTGGGCAAATTTTGAAGAAAATGGGGATGCCCAGATCTCACTGAGGACAGAAGCCAG